TCTTCTTCTTTTCCTGCGGACGCTGCACATCGGAGTAAAGCGTGCCCTCATCCATGCCTCCATCATCCTTCAAGAACTCCTCACGCTCCATTCGGTGGGCAATACCACGCGTTGCGGACACCTCAATTTCACGAGCCACACGATCGGCATGTGCCCTCTGTTCCTCCGTGATCTTACTGTGATCCAGCCGGGTAGTGTAGAGCTCTTCCTTGTATGTCGTCTTCACCCCAAAGTTCTTCTCGTTTGCCTCAAACTGATCCCACGCACCGGTTTGATGTTGCTCACTGTCCAGAAGCTCATTCGCACCCTCATCCGCCCAGTCAATTTTGTTCATGGAGTAATCACTGCGAACGGTGTCCGTTCTGCCAGGCGCCTCTGTTCGGATCTTTGCGTTTTGCACCTCCATCATCACTACGTCCCGGTAGGGAATAATTGTGTCTTCCAATAACTCCAGGCATGAGGGGTCCAGCGGCTTGTGCTTCGAAGAGGGGAGACAACGAGTGCAGCAGAGAAGAATACCCGCCTCCGTGTCCGCGTCGACATCTGTGCGTGAGACAAAAATGCCCTCCAAAGACGAACCGTCTACCAGACGAACCTGAACCACTTGGCCCACTAAGTTCAGGTACAAGTATTCCAGGCGATCCGCGTTACTGCTATATGTTGTCTCCATCGGGGTGTGACTAATCACCTTTTGTTTAAACGTCCTTGCGTGGAGGTGTGTTCCCTCTTTAATTTTGTTCTTCCTTCCTTCCTTCCTTTTGCTCTGCTCTTGTGTCCTTTTCCCTTCTTTCTTTCTTTCTTTTTTTTTTTTTTTTTTGGTGGCTGTTGTTGTTGTTTTTGTTTGTTGTGTCGTTGGCTGTTATACTTCAGGCGAGTCTTCACGTCGTCCGGCTGGCACGCACAGAGAAAATAGACAAACAACTCCTAAAAAAAAAAAAAATAATAATAATTAAAAGACGCATACAAAATAAAAAACAAACAAAAACAAAAAGAAAAAAGAAAAAAAAAAAGGAGTCAACGACGTCGCCCAACTTTTTTATTTTTTTCATCCTTTGAGAAATGTTGCGTGGCCCATGAGTGCCCCCTCCACCTCCTCTTTTTCTTCTTGACGCCTCTACAGGAATTTGTCCAACGTCATGGCCTGCCGATCGATACGCTGCAGTGGAGGGTACGGCAGTGGCCCGGACGCTCCAAAAAGTACGCCTTGCAACTCTTCACGGTCGTAGACTTTGTTTCGTATGTTGCTAAAGTCATGACGCTCGGGGTCTGTCATCGGCGGCACGTCAGTGTACATCTCCGGTATGACACGCTGCTGTTCCGCCGGTGCCAGCCGGAACGGCACTTCGATCACCTCCCAATCCCGCTGCTTCCACCGCTTCCGCAACGTCTGTTGCGCACACCAAATATCGACGTTAAACTGGACCGTCCGCAGATCCTTCTTAAACCGTCGTCCGCTCTTTTTGATGTTCACCGGGCCAATCTCACGCAAATACGCAGTCCGGCCTCCAAAATGGTTTGCGTCATGCAACGGAAGGGTGTTGAAGGCATGCTGACGCCGGTGCTGAAACGGTAAGTGATCAAAGACACCGGTCGAGATGGTTGCCAGACTGCAGTAAAGCGGCGTCGTGTGGCAGCCCCTTCCAGGCCGCACAATGCCGCAGCCTGCACGTTGCATCGCCCGCCCCCCTTCAACCTACCCACCTTCGCTAATGTTACTTGTTCGGTTGTGGCTGGTGTTGTTGGTGGGCAAAGGCACGTTGTTGTCGTTGTTGTTGGTTTTAACAAGAAAAGAGCCAAAACAAAACGAAAAAAAAAGCGCGGAGCAATGACATTGCAGCAAAAATATGCGGGGAGTAAAAGAAGAATAAAACATATTTCCTTTTATTTCTGTGCCTCCCATTAAAATTCCTTTCGGTGCAACAATATGCATCACGACGTCCACACGATAATCTCTGAGAGAAGAGGGGTGGAAGTAAAAAAGCGGTTACACACACACACATAAGAGGGATAAATTTATTCAAGTCAACAGCAAAAAATCCACAAAGATCTTTCGGTATATATATGTATATATTGATTGATTGATTGATATATAGATAACTTCTGTGTAAACGTAGATATATATAAAAGGAATTAAAATATACGCAAAAACAAAAGGGTCATCCTGTCACCACTTGGCAACATCCTGCAAAGACTCCATAAGGGTTTCAGAGAGGCGCCAAAATTGACATTTTCCCGTGCAAATCTCCGATTTATTTAAAATCTCAGAATGTTTTTCCTCCATTTCTATTAGTCGTCGAAGCAGCTGCTTCGCCTCCGATGCCTTATCGCCTGTTAACAGACGCACCATTACTCGCATGGCGCGAAGGCTCATCATTATTGAAATGCGGCATACCCACTCATGTGTGCAGCGCGCTTTCCATGTGGACATGGCACGAACCAGCAGAGCACCAGGTGTCTTGCTCGCCGCATGAGCATCTTTTATTGCAACCATGAGATGGGCGACACTTGCCCGCAAAAGACCCATCACTTGGTGCATCTTAACCTTCTTTTTATTCTCCAACAGTGAGAGAGACACGAGAGCCATCTGCAATGCACACTCCACAGGATGCACGGTGGACATGAGTTTCAGTGGCATGCGTACAGCACCCGCCTCGGGTGTTCCGCCACCTGCTGTCCACTGTGACAAGATCAGCTCCGCTCGGTGTTGCAGGGCCGCGTGATGTGCTGAGCATGTAAACAGCCGCAGGACCTCCCAGTCAATTTCAACGTCATTGGAAGTCAGCTCCCCAACCTTCCGCAACATGGAGAAGATATGACGCCCCTTTGCGACATCCGCTTGTTGGCCACTGAAGGCAACTTGACCAATTTGCCGCGAGGCGTATTTTCTGAGGGCGGACGCCAGCTGTTCCTTTGCCTCGCAACTCGTAAAGGAATCAACCGCGTGGCGGAAAAAATTCTCCTCCTCCTGTGATAACTCCTGCACTTCACCCATCAGCAGTGGCTGCTGCAAACTCAGTTTCATTTCGGTTGGCACAGGACGGGTTTTAAGGCGTGTCATGCGAATGTACAATTCACCCAGTGATTGCTGAACGTTTCGTAGTGTCACCGTTGCGGAGGAGGTGCAACACGCACCAAACACTGTGTCTGCCGGAGCTTGCTGCATCGCCTTGAAGAGTGACTGAGCTCGGTGTAGGGACTCGAGCGCCTTGGTGTAGCGGTCGGTCAAAAAGTAATGGTGCCCCACGTGGTAGTACACCTGCGCCGTCTTCGATAGGAGCCGCTTGGACTGAAGGCCCGCTCTTGTGAGGAACCGCAGCGCCGTGAAGGAGAGCGACACGACATCAGGCGTAAGGGCCGACAGCCACGCCAGGGTCGACTCCCCTGCGACAATCGTCTCCGTGCTGCCGCTGCCGCTGCTGTTGTGGTTGTCCTCATGATCACAGTCTTTACTGCCGCCTCCACAACGACGTCGTTGCTCGCGGGCTTTGATGCGGCGGCTCAGTTCCACCAGGACATCCGCCGTAAACGGTGTCCGGTCGCTCATGACGAGGAGCACAACGTCCGTGTAGAGTTCCCACACCGTGGTTTCCAGTGGTGTCACGTCAAGTATTTCTGTTTTTGTATCCATCAATGCCATTGACTCCACTTTTGTGCCCAACGGCATGCCCTTTGTGAGTGCTGCACCGCTTTTCAAAATTCGGTTCATTTGCTCCAGGCGCAACAGCCCCTCCACGACGACCTGCAGAAGGTCCTTCGCAATAAGACTGTGGATGTGAACATGACTACCTCGATTATTCTCCGCCCGCAACTGCATGTACACACGCCGCTCTGCAGCAAACTCTTCCATCGTACGGGCAACGCACACACATAAGGCGGCACTACATGGCAGAATACACCGCAAAAAGGCCCGGCGTATGGCGACACTAAGCGTCTCATCGTATGCGGCTTCCTGAAGGCGCATTTCAAAGCGGCCACATGTCAAAAAGGCTTCTCGATAAATTTCCGGCAACTGTATGATGCCACCTGCTTCCTCAATTGCCGCCTTTCGATTTTTGATCAGACGACCGATAAGAGCAGGCAGACACTTTGCAATTTCGCACACATGACTGCAAGCTTCATCCATCTTTGCACGTTGCATAAAGTACACGGCAAAGCTGCGTAGTAGCAAAGAAACCGCATCCGATGCCTTCTGTTCCGAGTCCTTTAAATGCATACCCATTCGAAAGCACATGGTCGCCAACCCCCAGTTAAGCCGCTCGTTCTCCTCTGCGCTCTTCTCCTCCTCTGCCCGCTGCGTCTCGGTAATCTCCTCTACACCAGACTTCTCACGGCCGCGGTTGAACTTACTATTGTTTATCACATCATTGACCCCCACAAAATTGCCTTTTCCGCACGCCCCATCATCCGGGAGAAACTTCTCAAGGCGCTCATCTCTTGAGTATTCATAAATCTCCAAGTATCCCGACTCGTAGTTGCGTATTACCGCATACGTCGTCCCATCCTTTTTACACTGCTTCACCAACCATTGAAGCACATTCATTGTAAAATTCATGGCTGCCGTTGCCATGCTTCCCTCGACAATTCCAAGCAATTCTTGCACTTTTCTTACTTCATACCGCTGAATAATACCATCATTGTGTACATAGATGCCAACATGCGGCACATTGGCAAGCGTTGCATCGAACCAACACCGCAATGCATCACGTTGGATCTCCTGTGGTGTCATGACGACTGAGGTGTTCTCCAACTTCAGTACAAACTCCGTGTTGTCCCTACGGTCGATCACAATGGGTGTGTCAATGCCAACCAACACATCCATTAGACCAATCTCCCATGAGAATATGTGTGAATATCGACTCAGTGTTCTTATCTCCTTTGATAGGGCAAGTGACCCCACGCGGTGTGTCGGTAGTGACAGAACCCCACCGCCTGCGCCCTCATAATTATCATCGTCGGTTTCTTTCCAAGAAAAGACATCGTTGTGAATGCGGTAGAGCGCTTTACCCAACAGCGCCTTCTCCCGCATGTCACGCACCCTTGTGCGAAAATCCCGCTCATTGTGTGAGTCAATCAACAATGTTGGCCCCATTCGCCTCACTTCTAAAGCAAGAGGCTTCTCATCGCAGTATGTGGACTCAAATACACTTCTCAGCGCCTCACCCGTTGAGAGCAGCAAAACGTTTTCTTCCCCACCACGCCACTCCTGCACGGCGCAGGCAAGTAGCGACCTCTTCGCTGCATTCTGATCGCGCTCGAACCCCGGGGCGTGTTGATGAACATTATACGTTGTGTCCGGTAACAGGTAGTTCCGGGTTGGTTGATCCAAGTCTGTTCCAGGCTGCATCGGCGTCTTCATGGGAAGCGGTGGGACCCCTTCCACACGCCTTACATGAATGCTCTTTGTGATACTACTCTGCATCAGAGTCTTCAGAGAAATGGATCCGCCCGAATTTCGATGCCTATCATCATTCAGCACAACAAGCGATTGCTCCTGCTCATTGTAAAGCGACGAGGAGGAAGGTGGAACCACGGCGGTGTCTGGACCCTTCGATTCCGCAGGCGTCTGCAATAATTCAGACGGTATTGTCCGAAAAAAAAACTCAAACTCCCACTTATTTATCAGAATTGATTTTTCCATGGGATTCACACGAAGCAATTGCGTGGCCTGCAGTTCCCCGCCCCAGTCGGCATGAGAGACGGGAGTTCCTTCACTACCACCAGCTACAGTTTCAGTCGCATTGTTGCGGTCCAACAGTTTCCCATCGCGCTCGTCCGCCAGACGCCTTCGCTCTTCATTTTTCCGCCGTTCATTAAACTTCTTCACGGCATGTCGGTGCAGTGCACGTCGTGACGGTCGTCGTGCCTCCACGGCGACATCGTTGTCGTTTGTGTTGTTTTTGCTGCCGCTTTCACTGCCAGACCTGCTGCTTACATCCCTCTTTTCTCCTGCAGCCTCCTCTTCTCTTCGCGCCGCCGTGGGCGTTGTGTGTGGCATTACTACTTCCTGCGGGAGAGAAACAGGGAGGAGGAAAAGAAGAGGGAGGAGGTCGGGAGGGTCACAGCGCGTTTCTGCTCCCACAACTGCAGCAGGAGACGCAACGGGGAAGCGACGCCGCGACGAGACGATGCTCGACGCAAAGAGAAAAAGGCAACAAAAAAACCCCCCAGCAGAAACACATGCAAACACATATATACAGAGAGAGAGGAGAAAAGAAACGGACTCAGGAAAGTGTCCATCAAAGTTGAATGGGCGGAAATAAATAAAACCAAAACAACACAAAGAAGCAAAAAGAAGACACAGACAAAAGACGCAAAGATAAAAAACAAAAAAAAAAAAATGGGCAAAAAGCAAAAAAACAAAAAACAACAACATATTCTCCAACCACGCACATTCATAAATGGTGTGCGTATGTGTGTTTCTTCCTGTCTCTCTCTCGTTCACTCTTTCCTTCTCTGAGCAGATGAGACTTCCACCGTCATTTTCCATGCCATCCTTGGCACTGCGCCGTCCTTGCAACGGTATAAATACAACCCCTCAGAGTGTCATGACACGGTCAATGTTGGAGCGACAAACAGGGCACCGGTTGTTTTGCTGAAATCGCAAAATGCTAGCGCACTCGTAACAGAGGCACATATGACGACACGGAAGAAGTGTTGTGTCTTTTGGGTTCAATAAGCAAATGACGCAAAGATCTATTTCTTCCTCTTCTTCATCGTTGCCATCAAGATTATTTTCACTCCCATCACCACCAAGGTCAAAGACATCGTCCAGCTCATACACCTGTGTGCCGTGTTGCAAAAGCTGCCGCAGAATCTTTGCTTCATACACAATCCGCGCTGCTCCTTCCTGTGGTTCGCTTTTTGGCAACAACGACACCTTTGTACGCCCCAGAGCACCTTCGGGAATATCCAGAAAGGTGTACTGTACCATTCGCTCGGTCTGTGGAAGCAACTTCGCCGCGAAAGAAGCATGGCTGTTGTGGCTCATGCTGTTCTCGCACTCCTGTCTGGACGCAAAGACAGATTTGGCAGAGGACGGGCTAATGCAATCTGGGCTTTTAGATGGGGCTCTGTCGGTGGGCGCCTCATACACAAGTTCAATGGCAATCGGTGCGTACGTCAGGCGCCTTGCCCCGTTTTCAGAATACCTAAAGATGGCCTTGTTAAGCTTTTCAGGATGCAGCACCTCGCTAACTTCAATTTCCTCCCGGAATTCTTCCGGTGAGACAAACTCCAATAAACAAAAGGGGTTTTGACTCTTCTCCGACTGCATCAACTGCACCCCTTCCCCGGCGCGATATTCAATGTCCACGCCTGCGAGTACCCGAAGCGTCTGCCCCGGCTCCGACATGACAATCGAAAAAGAGAGCAGAAAACCAGATTCCCTATTCTTCGAGTCCAATTGCACCAGTCTAAATTTCTGCCTTGATGGAACAGCCACTGGCAGCTGAATCGTCTCCGCACGGTCCACAGCCTCATTGTCGTCCATGAGATCCGTTTCAATGTGGAAGATGAGCGGACCGGCACTGGACGGGTGGCCAACGTATCGGATTCTCGGCCCGCCCGAGACAAGGTAGAAAGTTCTCGGCCCCCCAATCAGCGGCTGCACCGTCTGCCTGTTGCCCATCCTTTTGTTTTCCCCCTCTTTTTTTTTTTGCCTTTTCGTTCTTTTTTGTTTTTCTTCTTCTCCTTCACTCGTGTGTTTTCCTCTCGCCTGCGGGGCGCGTGCTCCGCCCTTCTTTTTTCGCTCCCAGTCTTCCTCCGTTCAGCCTCTCCTCTACACCCGCCCCCGGTTGAGCGCACGCCTCTGCTGCTGTTCACGCTGCAATAGAAAAAGAAAGAAGGAAAGAAGACATCGGAAGGAGTGCACGGGGTTCATTCGCACAATTTTTCACCTCGTCCATCAAAGGTACACACAACGGCAACAGAGAAATAAAATAAGCACATGCACATTCACACACAAAATAAAAAAAAAAAGAAAAATAGAAAATCGGTCAGGCGGGATAACATACATCCATCTATCATACATCAGCTCCGCTTGCCGCAGTTCTAGGGATGAAACAGCGCGCATCAACAACCTTCCCGCATGCACCTCACTCACTTCCCTCCCCCTCTTCCCCCTGCTTCCTCTCACACGCTCGCAAATACCAAAAACAATCGGGTAAAGAGAAATGGTAAAGAAGAAGAAGAGAAAATGAGGAAACCGTCAAGGGGAGACACCAACCGCAATAATACTTTCCCTTCCCCCAGCGCACAAAAACATAAAAAGATTCTGTTCATCGTGGCCATATGGGCGGTGGCGGTATTATCTGCCCTTGTCGCTAGGGGACCGGGAAGGAGGCGAAGGGGGAGTTGGGTCATACTGCACCCCGCACTTTGATTTTCTTCATTAGCGCCTGGCAGTACTCTTCGGGCACGCCGAGTTCCCCTAACTCCGCAAGCTTTCGCTGACGAATGGCCTCAATCGCCGCCTCACGATCCCGCATCAGCATCATGACATGATTTCCCTCCGCAACGTACTCTTGGCGCTCGCGGCGACGACGCTCTTCCACCTCCATGATCTGCTTAAGCACCGCCAAAGAATTCTCTTCATGTTGCTGGCGTGCGCGCGCCTTGCGCTCACGCTCCTGCTCAAGCGCAAGTTTTTGTACAGCGACGATGTGCTCAAGTTCCTCTATCTCTTGCTGCCGTTGTTCCTCCTTGATGCGTTTGCGCTCCTCCATCTGTTGTTCGCGGACACGGGCCAAATCCTGCAAGACGGCTCGTTCGTGTTCCTTTCGCTCCTTTTCTTTACGTCGCATCTCCCGCGCGTGCGCCTCCTGTATACGTTTGGCTCGAACTTCATCCAGCTCGGCCTGTTTGTCCTGCACCCGCTGTTGCTGCGCCCGAAGTCTGGCAACTTCCCGCTCCTTTTCTTCCCGTATGCGCTGCTGCTCCTCCGCGAAGCGACGTTCACGCTCCTCCTTCTCTTTGATGTATTGCGCTACACGCTTGTCTTCTTCCAATTCCAATTCCTGCTGCCGCTTCTTCAGTTTGATCTGCTCCGCGTTAGCAAGTGCGGCGTCCTCCATCAGACGACGTGCGGCTTCCTGTCGGCGTAATTTCTCCGCCGCTTCTTCCTCCCGCAGACGTTCAATATGGCGCGTCATCGCCTCCTGTTCCTGTTGGTGGGCCTCGAGCTTTCGAATTCGGTCAACCTCCCGCTCTTCCAGCTGCGCCTTAATGACCGCCAAGTTCTTCTTGCGACCTTCTATCTGTTGTCGCTCACGTTCTTCGTACAGCTGCTGTGCCTTCTTGGACTCAAACAACATCATCTGGTCCAGCTCCTTCTCCTGTGCCCTTTCCTCCTCTTTGCCGCGCTTCTTCTCCATCAGCTGTGCATTGCGGATGGCAACACACTTTGCCTCCATTACAATTTGATTCATGGCTCTCACCTCTTCAAATTGCTCGTCAATGAGGTTCTTGGCCCGCTCCAAGTGAAGTCGCTTCTGCTGCTCCTCCTCAATGTCTTCAAGCGTCTTATCATCGTCTCCATGCAGGCGATGTAGGGCATCGTATTCCTGCATGCGCTGCTTTCGCTCATTGGCGGCAGCGGTGCGGGTTCGCACGGTGCTTTGGAGGGGAAACGTCATGACATTCTTCCCCGCGATCATACTACGCACAATGTCCAACTCGGTTCGGGTAAGAATCGTCGAATCACGTGGTGCCTTGCGTTCATTGAGTTCTTTTCGAAGATCACCGTCTGTTTGCCCGGGCTTCCTTGGCGGGAATACACTGGCATCCAGCCGAGTCATCATGTTGGCCATCATGAAGTAATAATTGATCCTCTTTTTTCTTTGACTTTGGCGATGGGCGCAGAAACAAATAAAGCAAAAAATGGGCACCTTTCGAGTAAAGCAAAAAAAAAAAAAAAAGTGAATTTACATACATGCATGCATACATATATATATATATATATATGGAAAGGTGCAGGGATGAAAGAATAAAGCTTTTACACCAAATCAAAAGCAACAGAAACGACCCAGTAAGCAAACACACCCACATACACATAAACACTACAAAACAGAAAGAAATGCCGGACAGACGCCTGGACATAAGCCATCAGTCAAAGGGTCAAGCAGCCGCTGTTTGGTCTATTCCAAATTTCCTCGACATCCTCCTCTCTCTCTCTCTCTCTTTCTTTTTACATCGATTTTTCTGGTGTGGGAATCGAAAAAACATTTTTTGAAGGAGTAAATAAGAGAGCCTTCACATTTTTTGGCACAAACTTCTTGATCTCTTGCCTCTCTGCATATGTGGGGCGCTCCATAAGGTCCATCAAGGCATGAAGCAGATCCTGGCGCTTAAGCTCCTCCCGCATCATCTCTAACAGCGTCTCATTCGGTTCCTCGTCTTCCTTTTCCTGATTTAACGGCGAAGATTGGCGCTGCAAACGTCGGCGTGTCCCATGGGGCCTACTGGTGTAATCCCAACCGGCACTTTCTCCAGCCGCGGTCCCTTGTGCCTCCATGCTATTCATTAACGCGTTCAGTATGTTGTTAACACGCAACTGCGTCTCTAACTGCTGCAACTGCATCTCCAGTTGAAACATACGCTCCTGTCTGCGTGCACACGCGGCACATGTCGTAGTTTCCTTCTGAGACCATGAATTAACGCCCATTGTCGTCGTCAGCGTCTGCAAGGGGGATACGAACAGCGCGGGCGTGTTTTCTCCCGTATTCACGCCAATGTCCTTTACTGCAACTTGCACGACTTCGCCAAGGCCGCCCGGCTTCTCAATCACTTTGTACCGCGTTGAGATCATCTGCAACTAACAAAATCCCCCACATGACAAAATAAAATAAATAAAATAAAACAAAACAAAAATGGGAAACGAGGCAAAATACAAGAGGAGGATTGTCTACAGACACAAAATAAAATAATATAAAATAAAATAACATATACATCAAATACATGTATATATACACATACAGTGACGTCTTCTCAAGGAAAAAAAAAATCCAAATCACACACACACACACACACACACAAACACACACAAATAAAAAACACAAAAACACATATTGAGGGAGTACACATAGAGATATATATATATATAGTAAATACCTTCTTCTAAACGCCGCATGGGACAAAAAATTGTCTCCTAAAACGAGGGATGTATACAAAAAAAAAAAAAAAAAAAAAAAAAGGCAGTATATATACATACTGGTTATTGTAAATGGTGTTTCACTCCTTTCCGTTCACTCTCACTCTCGCATGTATACAAACAAGCACAAAAAAGTGGTCACTACAACAACTATACAACCAAAGCGTAAATTCCGCCCAAAAAAAAAAAAAACAAAAACAAAAACAAAAACAAAAGCAAAGCGCACACATACACCTTTTCTTCTTCTTCTTTTATTATGCGATTGGCGGCGAGGGAAAAATTTGTCACGATAAACCTGCCTGCGCCAAGACACTATGAAGGCTGACCATCGCCACTATCTT